TCCATTCGTTGTGGCCTCCCCGCCACTATTTCTGGATTCTTTGTATTTTTCTTTTTTTAGAATATCCTGCAATACTCTCTGTAGAGTTGAATTGGTGGTTGCAAATTCCCCCAGTTCCTCTTTATCCTGGAAGCACCTTGTTTTTCCATCAATTTCCAGGTGCAGTTGTGCAGGATAGCTCAATCTTGGCTGGAGATTATTATCTTTCAAAGCTTGAATTATTTCCCCCCACGCTCTTCGTGATTTGATGGTTTGTGCAGAGAAATCTGCTGTAATTCTGATGGGTGTTCCCTTGTAAGTGGTCTGTTTCCTGTCTCTGACAGCTTTTAATATTCTGTTCTTGTATTGAATTTCTGGAATTTTTATTATTATATGCTTGGGTGTTGCTGTGTTTGGGTTGTAGGTGACTGGGGTCCTGTATGCCTCATACATCTGAGTAGCTTTACCTTTTGCTAAATTAGGAAAATTCTCCTGGATTATTTCTGTGAGTAGCTTTTGTAGTTCATTTGTTTGTGTCCCTACTTCTTCTTTTTATGTTCTTAATTCTTAAGTTATGGCTCCTCTTATCATCTTCTTGTCTTTGTATTATTGCTGTTTGTTTCTTTGTTACTTTTAAGAAGTTTTTCATTTCATTCTCCCATATTACAAATCTGCCCTCCAGTTCAGATAGTCTGTCCTTAGTTTCTTTCAAGCTTGTTATGCCAGTTTTCGATAGACTTTTTAGTTTCCTGGTAGTCCCTTTGAACCTGCTTCACGTATTCTATGCTTTCTCTATTTTCTCCATCAAACAATTCTCCCTTCTTTTTCTGTTCTTCCATTCCACCATCTGTTTTTTCTTGGGTGGTGCTTAGCATTTCTCTAACTATTCTGCTTACATCTAGCTTCAGGTCATTGGTAACTTCATTCCTGAACTGATCTATGAGGCTCTCTAGATGGCGCTTTATGTCTATTGGTGCGGTGTCCGCTTTTACCTGTTTCTCAGGATTGGGGGCCGAGGAGCCTTTCTTTTTGCTGCCTCTTCCCATATTCTTTGTTCCTTATATATGCAAGCTTATGTAGGAGGCCTAGCTTCCCTCCCTGTCAGCCACAGCCTGATCGAATTGTGCAGGTTAGCTGTTCCCGCCCACCGCAGCACACCAGGAAGTTCCAGACCAAGCAGCCTACCCGGGGCCCGCCCCTCTAGGCCACCCTCAGGCTCTGGGATCTGGGTTGGGCTAGCCTACTGGGTCCACCAGCAGTGTCAAGTAGGCTAGGCACTTCTCACCAATCCCGCCTGAGAGGGGGATATGTGGCTGAAGTCGCCACCGCGCCCTGCTCCTGCAAGTCTGCCTAGTCCCAGAATGTCCTCCGCTGGAGTCAAACTGTGGTAGAGTGTCAGTTTCTCTCACTCACCTCACCACAAGTCAGTGCACGCCTCTCTGCCCGTCCTGTTTTCGACTCCGTTCGCAGATTCCCATTCTCAGAGCTTCCGTGTGTCTCTCTCCCTGCTGAGCCGATGTAGATGCAGCCGCTGCACGGTGGGAAACCCAAATCACGGCTTTCAGTGGCGCGGGCTCCAGCCTCCACACTGAGGCTTTTCTGTTCCTGTTCTAGCACCAGGACTGCATTCCAAGTTGGTTTCTCTTAGCCCAGTTCGTTCCTGGGTCAGCGGAGCATATCTCCACCTGCTTATGTCTCCTTACTCTGCACCATTCCTGACTTCTGAGCCGAGTCTTTCAGAGAGCCTCCGTAGCTGCTGTTATCTGTCTGCCATGTTCTCCCGGAAGCTATAGGTCTGATACTTAAAATGCCAAAATTCTTAGATTAGTAAGTAAATGATTTTATTTGCTGTGTTACACTAAGTTACTATTTGCTACAACTTAATTATTGTAGATAGAATATACCAGCCTTGGTGATACAGCACAGACTTTCAGTTTGAAATAGTTTTTTTTTTTTTTTTTTTTCTTTTCAGTACTGAGAATTGAATCCAGGATCTTAGACATGTTTGGCAAGAGCTTTGTCACTTAGCTACATCCTCAATCCTTTTTGAATTTTATTTTTGAGATAGGATCTCACTAATTACCAGAATTGCCTCAAACTGGCCATTATTCTTGACTCAGCCTCCTAAGTAGCTGGAGTTACAGGGTCGCATAACCATTCCCAGCTGAAAAATACTTTTTTTCATTCTCCATTATTTTTTTTTTGTAGTACTGAAAATCAAACCCAGGAGTGCTCAACCACTTTACTTTTTTCTTTTTGAGGCAAGTCTTACTAAATTTCCCAGAATGGTCTGCCACTTGTGATGCTCCTGTTCAGCATCCTAAGTAGCTGGTGTTACAGGCATGTGACACTGTTCCTTGGTCATCAGTAAATCTTTCTTAAGGACCTCATACTTCTGAGTTCCGTTATAAACCAACCTGGTGCAGGATTTTGAATGTAGGCCTAGAACCCAACATGTTACTCTTAATTCATAACATGGATTCACAGTTTAGGACTAGAACTATCATGTTCAATATATTGCCATGAGAGTGAGCATATATTTGTATTTAGAAATTAGGAAATGATAACAAGTAACCTCCAAATGAATTTTTTAATTGATTTGGGATAAGAAAAGCTTCATCTTTAGGGAAGAATACAGAGAAAATAGAGCAGCAAGAAAATTGAAATACTAAGTTTAGGTGATTATTGCTATTTTAATAGTGAGAGGAAGGAAGAAACATTCAGAGGCTTCGAAGTATACTAGAATCAGGGAGTTAACTTTAAAATAAGGGATATGTGAAAGTCTGAAAGAGATATTATGGAGTTGGGAACCAAGTGATTAAATACAATGAGGAAAGTGAATAATTAAGCCATAATGTTCCAAAGGAATCCAAGAAAATAAATGTTAAGGTGTAAGTAAAAGAGGTTTAGACTAATACAAGTAGAGAGAAAAAAAATGATGCAAAAGAAAAAGACAAATACAAATGAAAACAGAAATACTTGTTGAGATTGAGAAATGGGATGGTTTAATTATACATTTCTAGAACATAACCTTTAAGATTTACATAAAAGTTGAAAGTTAAGTCATTTGCTGAATCAAGAGGAAGGAGAGAGAAAAATTTAAACAGCGAAAAACATTCTGCCGTGGAAGCAGACTTGGTAGTCAGTGAGTCTCAATGAGTCACATCAGTCAAAGTTAGCAGTTACAAAATGTTACAGGCTTTTAGAGTGATCAGTGGCGTGGTAATATTCTAAAATAGCAGAGTTGGCAAACTTAAAACTGAGGGCCATATCCAGCTCTTTTATCATATGAGCTAAGAATGATTTTTATATTCCTAACTGGTTGTTTAAAAAATAAAAACAATTAAGAATGTGTGACAGAAACCATATGTGGCCTTATAAATATTTCAAGGCCTAAAAGAATTACAATCTGGTTCTTTACAGATAAAAATTGCTAACCTTATTCTCTAGCTTGGAACCAAGGAAAACAAATGAGTTGATAAACCAGATATGATCCTAGATCACAAGATGATAAATGCAAGTATATTAATTAGAGGTGTTGGTGGAGGTATGCAATTGAGTCGAGATTGAATAAGAAGTAAAGTAAAGCCAGAAGAAAATGAATGGGCAAGATGAAAATGGTGGGAGCTTGAGACTAGATACCTCAATGAGGATATAAGACATGGTCAGTTGATTTTAAACAAAGATAACCAGTAAAAATGGTAAAGCAGTATATTTTCTTGGAGATAAGAGTTCCAGAAATTGCCAAGCATAATGATTTCAAGAAGTGGCTCAAATCTTTAATGGTAAGATCAGGATCATGGGGCATCAGTAGTATAATGATAAATCATGACGGTAATGATAGGAAGATAGTAAGAAGAAATGATTTAAGATAGGTTATTAGAATTTTTGGAAAAGGTAGAAGTGACTTGGAATGTAAAGTAAGAAAAAGTTGATGTAAGTATAGTTGAACTGCTTTTAAAGATGGGAGGAGGGAATGGTGATAGTGGCAGTTAAGTGGTCCAATATTTGCCCTAACCCCTAATAAGTAGAAGATTCAAAGGCTACAGAAAAAATAAGATATTCTGTATCAGGTTAGATTTACACCTATAGACTGAGGATAAGAGGAGCAAAACAAGTAGATTGTTTAAAGTGGTCAAACGAAATCCTCAAATTGATTTTTGCACAAGTGTATAAACATTTCACTTATATGGCTCTTCCTGTAAAACTTCTTTTATTTAGCTCTAGTACTTGTTCCTATGTAAAATTTATTCTTTGTAATAATGAGTTATTAAGAATTTAATACTAGAAATATTCCTTTTTTTGATATATAGATAAAAGTATCCTGGCAGGTAATTTTCACTCAAAATATTAAAATTGTCTAAATTGGGCTACCAGGAAACTAGTACCCTTATATCACTTAGGCATGATAATCGCTTTCTATGACAGCATTAATATAGAACCTGTATTGTAATATATGAAAGTTTATTATTTTACATACATGTAAGAATATAATGTGTTCTAGCCTTAAATATGTATAATTTTATTTTTAAATTATTCCTATATAAAACTGCAAAAAAGAAAAAGGAAAAAGAAAAGAAAAAAGAATTAACCGACTTCTGAAAGGTAAATAAAGAGCCCTAGGTAGTTGCTTTGCTATTTTTGTATATTAATGTATAAGGTGATTCTTATACTTTGGTAATGATTTATGAAGGAAAGACTTATGGTGCTAAGGAAAAAAAAAATACCTAAAGTAGCCAAAAGTAAATTGCCAGAAACTTTCCCCTTGCTATGTCAAAGTTTCTGATTACTCTTGTAAAAGCCTTTTTTTCCCCTAGAGAATAAGAATGAGACTATTTCCGGATAATATTAAATCTTAAATTACCTAAAACTTCATTTTAAATAGTGCTTTTATTTTAAGTGATTTTCAAGGAATAACCTTTGAGGAGTTTTAAAGATTAACTTAAACTTCTCTTGCGTCATCATAAGAAGCTAATGCCTTAATTATGTTTTGCTTTAATTTTTTGTTGTGTTTTCCTCAGTTCCTATTGCAAAGAATACAGAAAAAATAGAATCTTCCCCTTCTGACGCAACCCAGCATTCAATGCAGTCTCCACAGGAAACTGCTGTAATACTGCCAGCACAACTCAGGAAATCATCTCGAATTAAACCACCTGGACCTCCTCCAGCCCCTAAGAAGGGCGGTTCTTATAAAACTGTCACACCAAAGAAAAAAAATCAAAACTCAGGAAAAAAGGTTAGTTTTATCTCCTACTAATTTGTATATAGGTGTGTATAGTGCCTTCTTTATGACATACAGTTAGGAATTTACCAGCAACACGATCGGGCACTTTAGGAATGTATTAAGATTATATAGAATTCTTTATGGTCCCACAGAGCTTTTGAGAAATTGAGATTTCTTTTTTTAGGTAATTTGAAATTTTTTATAATCTTAGAAACTACTGTGGATGCTCTCTATGGGTGCATTTATTTCCTTGCTAGTTAATTAAAAATTTATATTCTTTTTAAAAGAATTATTATTCTGTATTGAGGATTGAATGCCTCACACATGCTAGACAAGCACTCTGTTGCTATACTATATCCCCTGCCCTTTTTTACTTTGAAAATTGATATCACTGAGTTACCCACACTGGCCTTCAATTTATAGTCTTCCTGCTTCAGCTTCCCCAGGAGCTATAATTATAAGACATGTGTCACTGCATCTGGCTAAAATTCAGTGAACTTTAAAAATCTATATGAAATGCATTTTACTGTACATAAACTATACTTCAATAAACCGATGGTTAGGGAATCAGTGTGATGAGTTTAGTAATGTTTCAGTGTTATGGTTTATGTCTAGATGCCCTACAAAGACTCATGCCCTTCTCTTTATGCAAAATGGTTTTCTACCATCTTTAAGTATTGCCAATGTCTGATAGTTTGAGCATTGCTGAAAAGTCCAAGTCTCAAATCTCTTCTGAGGTTTAAAACAAACTGTTACCTGGGAGCCCCTGTAACAATGAACAGAAAGTTAAATTTTGACAGCATACAAAGAAACAGGGTAAATGTTTCCATTCCAAAAGTAGAAATAGGGCAATAAAAAGAAATGAGACCAAAGCAAGACAGAAACCCAGCAGGGCAATCATTAAATCCTGTAGTTCCATGTCCAGCACATGGGGCAATCCTTGCTAGTTAATTAAAAATTTATATTATTTTTAAAACTATTATTCTGTATTGAGGATTGAATGCCTCACACATGCTAGACAAGCACTCTGTTGCTATACTATATCCCCTAGATAGTATGTATGAACTCTAGATGTATGAACTCTAAAGGACTGGGGTCGCCACCACCCCTATAGCACTGATGATCCTTGTAGCCCTTATTAGCCTCTCTTGGGCTGACTTTTGCTCACTCCTTTGGGCCTTCCACAGATGTTTGTTATTACTGACTTTCCAATATCCTGGGATCTCCAGTGCCTTAACTTCACTCTCACAGCTTCATAAACTATCTTTTCAGGAGCCACTTCCTAGTCTCTCAGGCCTTTTTCTGAAATCTGATTGGAAGCCTCCCTGATCCTTAACTTTAGCATTCTGCATGTGCCTAAAATTGGCACTATGCGGATGATGCCTGCTACCAGCTGGAATAGTAGCTGAGCCCATTTGTATCTTGCCTAGTGGTTGCAGAAACCTTATTGCCTGGATGGCTGAACACAATGAAGTGAACTCTGAGAAATCAATTCCCATTCCCTAGGCTGCTGCCTTTATAGAGCATGTTGCCCTGGGGCTGTTTTCACAAAGCAGTGTCTTTAACCTTTGCAATTTTGAACCTGAAAAGAGTGGAATCCTGCTGGTTCTTGTGATCCCCTCAGGCTATCTTTTCTTTTGTCCTGTTCCAAACTACCGGTATCTTTTTTTTTCTACTTGTTTTCTCTGTAATTGAAGAGTTGCTCAATGAATTTTAAGTACATAAAATCACTAACTTGAAGTGTGTTTTAAAGTAATGTATCTAGTGTTATCATTAGCAGTTTACAACAGTAAACCTCCACCCACATGAAGATATTGAACAAAAAGCTTACATACGAATTCTTAAAAGTGAAATTTCTTTTTTTTTTTGTCTTTTTCGTTTTTTATTGGTACCAGGGATCGAACTCACGACTGCCTGCTTGCAAGGCAGGCGCTTATGCCGCTGAGCTAAATCCCCAGCCCCCAAAAGTGAAATTTCTTGGGGCTGGAGATATAGTTCAGTGACATAAGCACCTGCCTGGCAAGTGCAAGGTCCTGAGTTTGATTCCCAATACCAATTTTTTTTAATTAAAAAAGGGACATTTCTTATAATATCCTTATTTCTTCCTAAAAAAAGTGTTACTCTCCATTCCTAAATATAAAGCATTCCTACTACCTTTAAACACTTTCAACGTCCGTTTTTTACAATTATGAACATCTTGGGTCAGAGTTGTGTTTTTTGCTCAATGTAGATCTTATTAATTGGGAATTTTACTGCTTATAATTCTACCTCTATCAGTATATTTTTCTGCGTATTTTAATGTTTCTGTGATACTTTTCTTTTGCTACTGTGTCTTGGCTTTTTACTTGGCTTTTTCAGTTTCAGAAACGAAATGTGTTCATCTATTTTTGTCTACAACTCAATGATAAATTGACTTACATGGACCACTATCTGATGTAGTAATTACTGGTTTTCTTAATTTAGTATTTCAGACATATCCACACCTCTCCAACCAGTGCTTTGGAATTTTTCTCTTTATATTATTATTATTAACATTATAAACTTGTTAGCTTTTTTAAAAAGCAAATAAAGTACCATTTTCAAATTTTGTCAGGTTAATATTTTGAATATGTTTTCTGTATTTATCCTCTCCACAGTGACCAAACACTTTCATCTAACATGCATTTGGCTTAACAACATGCACTGTTTTATTATATGGCAAAAATAAAACAGTATTTATTTGCTCTTTATGTTGAGTATTTAACATGTACTTTTACAGTTTAAAACTATATAAACTGAAAATTTTAGATATAGCTTGAAAATCTGTTTTGCATTTGGGTTTTTTGTTCTATATGTAACAATTTTAGATACCATGTTTCTTAACTAGTTTTAACCATCAGATCTTTCATACAATTATCTGCTGATTCTTTTTGTTTTTTATGTTTGCTGCAGTTAAAACATTCAGCAAAATTTTCAGAGGTTTTTGGCCAGTATACTTTCCTAACCTGTTGACATATCTAAGAAAGTCTTCCAGTTGCTTCCATGTGCAAATATTAACTTGGCAGGATATATAGTTCTTGATTCAAAATTACTTTTCCATTAAAACTCTATAGATGTTGTTTCCTTGTTTTCCAGCATTTAGACTTCCAAGAGAAAAATCTTGAATTTAGTCTGACTTTTGCCACTTTGTAGGTAACCTGCTCTGTTGAAATACTTGCAAATCTTTTAAATTTTGAAACTTTAAAAAGGCATAAGGATATGTTTAAGTATTTCTTTCATATGAAATTTTAAAGGTACCTTTTTAGCCTTCTTCATTTGCAGGCCTACTTTATTCAACTCTGGAAAGTTTTCGGCAGTTAGTTCCTTAATTGTTGTTTCAGCTTCATTTGCTTTCTCCTCTTGTTTCATGTATTCCAAATACATGTAGATTGTACCTCCTGAACAACCTCTCTACATCATTTTTTTCTCCCTCTTTTCTTAATTTCTTTGGCCTTTTCCTCTGCATTCTGTGAGAGTTTGTCTTGTTTCACATTTACTTCAGAAGTTTTATTTTATGGCCAACCTGCCTATATGTTTATTTCAAATGGAAGGCCATGATCTCTTCTGACTGTTCACACACTACCTGCTCTATTATAATTAAGCCCACATGTACAATGAATTCTTTTATAAGATGTTTAATACTTTCTAAATGATCTCTGTAGCATCTTTCATCAATATGAAGAGGGGAAATTTTTTCACTTATTTCTATTCCTTTTTTTTGTACTGGAAATCAAACTAAGGACCTTGCATTTGCCAGGCAGGTGCTCTGCTGCTGAGCCCTATCCTTAGCCCTCTGTTCCTTCCTTCTGTACTGTATGACCTTTTAAATGATTCATCCCATTCACAAGCACCAAAGTTTAAAAAAAGCGAGCTTTTGACTTTTTAATGCTAATATTTTCAGCAATCAAGCTATCCTCTGCAAAATTTTTGCAGGCCCCAACTTTTCCTTTCTGGCTGGACTCAAAAGTTTTAAAATCATTCTGCTGGGCTGTTTGCTCTTAATTTGCAATGTCAAGTTGGATAAAAAAAAACTCCAACCACAGCCACAGCCTGAAAGTTAGGCTCCCTTGAAATTCCTCCACCAGGTTTATAGTCCATTACCCTTAATCTCAGACTTCTACAAATTTACTGAACTTGAGTAGAATTCAGACACATATTCTGTCAGAACATAACAAATAGTCTGGAATCCATCTGCCAGTGGAGTACTTCTTCCCAGCTGAAACCTCTTGAGCCTGGTCTTTTGAAACTGAATTACCATGAAGAATATGGTTTTTTGAGCCCTGATCAGAGTCTCCCAACTCAGCTCCTAGCATTCTGGACCTGCTTCTCCAGCTACCATCTCCAAAATTTTGTAACCTCCTCCTGCAAGCCAGTTCTAAAGGCTTCTGAACCATATAGTCAGGTGGCATCACAGAAACTACTCCACCCTGGTACCAAAATCTGTCTTTCTTTCTACTTGCTTAGAAACAATATCCACCATTCACAAGTTAAAGGAGGAATAAAGATTTCAACACAGAGTTGGTTGACTCCAAGGCAACATAACATTGTAGAGGGACATGGCAGAGGAGAATCAGCTCATCACATAGCAGTGGAAGCAGAGAGAGACAGAGGAGGGAAGGAACTGGACTTTTGCAGACCATGCCTACAGAGACCCACTTCCTCCAGCAGGGCTTCATCTCCCAAATCATATTTAGCTATAAACTCATCAGTAGAGTAATCTGTTCATCAGTATCACCCCCACACACACATTGTCCAGTCATCGTCTACCTAACCTCCCCCATGAGCAGGTGAGGCTTTGGGGGCCATTTAGATATAAATCCTAGTTTACTGTCTTGTCACTGTGATGCTGTTACATTCTACCTAATGTACCTAAAGAAAACATAGACACACTGGAGAATAAATGGAAGCAGATAGATTTGATGACAGGCAAAGTATACCCTGAAAGAAGGGGTTTTATACAAAGTCAGTTTAGATTTTTGTTTTTAGCATTAGATTAGATTTTCTTTGTGTAATGTGCACATGTTATACATGTGAAGTGGTGTTGATGAGAAAGCTGCATTTTAACTGTCATGAAGAACCTGAAAACAAAATCCAGGAAAACTGTGGCTCCTGAAGACACTCGAGAGATCATAGAAGAGAAATAATCAAAGAGAATACCCCCACACTATCTACCAACACTTCTGACAAACCATTGATCCAAACATGTGAATAATAGACAACTTAGCCGAAGCAAAAGTTTTGCACTGAATCTAGAGTTAAGCCCAAGATCAAAGTTTAAAGTTTCTCCAATCAAGATAATTTTCAGCTAAAATATAAGAAGTAACACCCATGAGAGAAAGATAGAATCCAGAATCTGCGTAAATTAGCATTTATAATGTGTAGGATACAATCCAAAGTGCCCATAGTAAAATGAACATATTTGACCTTGATGTTGGAACTAGCAAACAAAAATTTCGAAATGACTACTAAAATTGTCCTTGATGAAGTTAAAAGAACACACAGGGATTTAAAAAAAATAGGCTATCATAGCAGAGAAGCAGAAAAGAGAAAAATGACCCAAATGAAAATTCAGCTATTGAAAATCAGTGTATAGAATTAATAGGAATTGATTGGAGATGACAAAATAGCAAGTGAAGAAGAGCAATGTGAAGAATTGTGATAAAACTTAAAAAATTAAAGAAAAACAAAACTCCAGGGACCTTGTAAGATTTTAAGATTTAGGTTTGTCAGAGGTCTAACGCATAGGCAGTTGGAGTCCAAAAAGAACACGAGACTGGGCAGAAAAAGTGTTGAAGGAATAATAATCTCAAAATTTCCCAGTTTCAGGGCCAGGGATTTAGCTAAGCAGCCATTAGCACCTGCCTGGCAAGTGCAAGGTCATGAGTTCAATCCCTGGTACCCCCCTCAAAAAATTCCCAGTTTCAGGAAAGATAAACATATACACAGACAGAATACACAAGCAAGAATAAACTAAAGTCTAAGCCAAGGCATATCAGAGTCAAACTGTTGAAAGTCGGAGATAAAGAGTAAATCTTAAAAAAAAGTCTTCTTCAAATCTTAGTTTTCTTTGTATAATTGGTATGTTCATTTAGTTTTACTCAATCTATTACTGCATATTTTTATTTATTATTATGAAAGAAATCTTCCTTGATACTTTCAAATGAAAGTACATGAAAATACAAATAAATTGCATTTTAAAAAATTAAAGTTAAACTAAAGATAGTTTTCAAACAAAACCATATTAAAATATCTATCACTGGCAAACAACACTAGAAGAAATGCTAAAAAGAAGTTCAGGCTGCAAAAAAATGAGACTAGATAGAAAATACCCATCCTCAAAAAGGAATGCATAGGTTTGAAAATGATAATCTGAGTGAATGCAAATGTTTTTTGCTTTTTTCCTCATATTTTTTATATTTATATGACTATTAGTAATTATAGGCCTCAAGTTTACATTATGCATAGATACAGTACATAAAACAATTGCAGTATGATGATCTCAGGTTTGGAATGTGGATGTATATCATTGCAAGGTTTCAGCACTTTATGTGACGTGGTGCAGTATTAGCCTTATGTGTACTATAGAAAGTTTAAAATGTATACTGTAATCTGTTAAAGAAATGCAGAAAAAGTACTATATAGCTAAAAAACTAGCAGGCAGTCCCATGTGCTGCCACATTCCTGTAATCCCAGAACTCTAAGAGGCTGAGGCAGAAAGATCACAAGTGTGATTCCAGTCCAGGCAACTTAACAATACTTGGTCTCAGTTTTAAAGAAGACTGAGAGTATAATTCACTGTGAAGCTCTGCATTCAATCCCTAGTACCTTGTACCAAGGGAAATAAAAGAGCAAGTCAACAAGAAAATTACAATGAAGTTCCGAGTATTCAGAGGAAAAAAAAAGACTAAAAAGGAGAAATAAAAGAACAAAACACAGAGAAGACAAATACAAAACAATGAAGTGGTAGGCCCAGATTCAAATATAATGATTGCTTTACATATTAGTAGACTAAATTCTAACTAAAAGTTTGTGAAATGTATTTTTCAAAGACTCAAATATGTGCTATGTACGAGAAATACATTCTAAAAGGACAGAATCTCACCACTGTTGAGGTTGATTGGATTAAATTTTAGCAGTCTTACCTTCCAGTGATGGCGAACTTGTGTCATGTGTGCCACAGTGGGCTGTTTGTATCATTGAAAGCTCTAAAAATTTCACTAGATGTTTTTGACAAAACTTATGTATTCTTGACTTCAGCCTTGTAATATCAGTGTCTATACCAGTAGTTTTGTTTTAACTGATGTTACTGATGGAACAAAGTAACAGTACCATCCTGATTTTAAAATATTTCTATTTAGTGGTATTTATACATAATCGTTCAAAATTTATAAAATTATTTGATAAATCTATATATTAAGTATATAATTATAATCATTGAAAAGTCAAGCAGATTATTCTAATGTGAATTATAGTAGATTAATTTTAACTTTAAAAATAAAATTTAGTAAAATTTAAAGTGAGATATTTTTAATACATTTTTAAATTAAATTAATGTATATTTCCCAGCTGCTGGACCGTCTTTTGGTTTGTGTAAAGGCACAAGATATAAGATAGTTCTGAATAATTCCTTTTGACTTTTTCTTTTCCAATGCTAATTTGATAAATATAGAATTTTTAAAGAAAACATTGTTTATTTGGTGATAAGGAGGGGTACTGTAATCATGTGTTGGTAATAAACTATAGTTTTTTTCAAAAGCAATATTTTGGCTCAGTGTCATCTTCTTTAGCTTCATTATTTCACCATGAAAAAAATGAAGACTCTCATACATTTACCTTATTCATGTCTCATTACAGGCCATTTTCACAGTTTAGATGTACACAAAGTCTTTGAACTGAGTAAAAATTATTTGGAGTTGTGTCTTTGCTTTGCAAACTCTCATTTCTTAATACCCTTAAGGATCTTTAGAGGTATAGAAGCACAATTTCTAAATAAGTGGACCTTCATTCAGTATGCAATGTTGATGTAAACATATTGCCTTACTTAATCTAAAGTCAAGGCATTCAGATTTTAAAATAGTAAGATGAATGATAATAATTGTAATTCAATATGTAAAAATAACATGATTTACTAGAATACTATAAATCTAAATGATCATTCACACACATTCCAACACCTTTGAATGCTATTCTATTTTTTTATTCCTTTACCCCTGCCTTTAAGTGTCCTCTACTGTGATATTACCTTCGCTAGATATGAGAGTTCCTTTTCTAATATTCAACAGTATTGTTTGAAAGAAGTTCCAAGAAAATTTTAAAAAATGATAGGAAACAAAAGAAAATATAATGACGTTTAACAGTGCTCAGGAGACTATTGTTACTTAATATTATAGGCATAATTTTGTATTACCTTTAGTAAGGGTTTTGTGATTTTGTCAGAATTATTGTATGAACAGTGGAGAAATGCAAGATACACACAGGAGACAAGCAAATGTGTTCTGAAGCCCTCTGCCTTATTAAGATTTTTTCACTTAGTGGAAAGAGACCTCTTAGACTTTTCTTTAGCATATGAAGAGAGAAAAATCTTGTCTTACAGGGAACTTAAGAAAATAAAACTTTTAAAGAAAAAACTAATTTGACTAAGATGTGATCATTTGGAACAAGGGATAAGGCAAAGAATTTTAACGTAGAAAGTACTTGGAGTTCATGATACATACAGTACAATGGTGGTGAACCTATGGCACACACGTTATTTTTCTTCTAAGACAAAAAAAGTTAAGTTTTTTCTAAACTGAAACCTCAGTATTCAGTTTTAATCACATGTTGGCACATTATGATGTATGTGGATTTTGGGTTACAGTTTGGGAACTCGTTTTTAAAAGGTTCTCCATGACTGACAAAATGTTTTCCACCTTGAGCATTTCTGATTACTGATAATTTTTATGAACCAGCAATGCTTATAATTTTTTATTTTCTTATCAAGCAATTTTTTAAAAGAGTGATGTGTACTTGTCTTCTTCTTAACAGGAAAAAACTATTCCTGTGTTGTGTTCGACATCTACAACTTCTCTAAGAACACTGGCAAGAATTTCACATGATAGGAATATCGATCCCGCTCCATCTAAAATTGTGATGTCTACAGGTAAATTAGCATTTTTCAAAGAGGTAAAAAATTACCTATCTTTTACTTGGTAATGTTTTCAGTCTTTAAAGTCCTAAAATGAAAAGAGACAGCAATAGTAAATATCTCTTACAGCGTTTTTCATATTATTTTGTAATTCTGATTGTTCAATTTGTGTTGATTTAAATATATATATATCATTTGATCAATTTAAGTAAGATTGGTAACATTTCTGCCATGGAAAAATCTGTTATTTTCCCTTCATCTCTTCAGATTTTGTCTTTTTGTATTGTATGTATTTTCAGGCTACCTCAAACCCTTTTTTAATGCCTTTTGAAAATACTTTTTCTCAATAAATCCTTGCCTGTCAAGGAGAATGATAACTTTAAATTGTTGTCTGGTATGTGGAAAGTTTGAACCAACACATACTCAAGCAAATCAGTCCTTATATCGCCTATTATCTATTATCGCCTGTATATTTACTTACTCCTGTTTTTAAAAAGCATGTTCTTATTACATGCTCCCCTAGATTCCTCATTATCTCCCTTACACTACTTCCTAGACATTTTTCTCCACTTTTATTTCCTGACTGAAAGGAAATTATAACCTAATGTTTTTGAAATAGAAATAATTTAAAAATGATTATAACATAATTCATTTTTCAGTTTATTGTTTCTGATTTTGAATGTATCAGCAGAAGATAATTAGCCAAATGAACACGAGTTGACCATCTGTAATCCAGAAATCTGAAATGCTCCAAACTCCAAAACTTTTGATTACTGGCACGATACCATAAGTGAAAACACCTGACCTAATGCATTGGGTCATATGTTGCAGTCTAAACAGAGGTGTACTAATACATGAAAATTTACATTGTAAACTAATAGATTAAGTAATTTATGATTTAGGAGGGCAATTGTTTTGATAATGATATACCTTTGTATTTTCATAGTTACAAAATTATGGTGGGGAAGTGGAGGAAAATTGTTCCTTCTTCACTGTTGAGAGTGTAGTCCGTGTCGAGAGTCCTCAAAAATCTAGGATTAGAGGCCCCATTTGACCTAGCTATTCCACTTCTTGGTACCTTGCTGAATACCACAGCGATGTATGCATACCCATGTTTATAGCAGCACAATTTTTAATAGCTAAATCATGGAAAAAAATCTGAATGCCCATCAACTGATGAATGGATAAAGAAGATGTGGCTTTTTTATACAAGTACTACTTAGCCATAAGAATAAACTTGAGACATTTCTAGGTAAATTAATGTACCTTGAGACCATATTCTTAAATGAAATAACAGAGGCCACATATGTAAATATCATATTGTCTCTGTGGTATGAGAAACTGAAAGTGTGTAAATGAGGACTAAAATGTATAATAGATCCTGTGAAATAGGAAGAAATTTTTCAAAAGCAAAAGGGAACTGGGCAGTGGGATGGGGAAAGAAGGATAAAAATAGAAACATCTGTAGCTAAGAAGGGGAAGAAGGGTTGAGGGAAAGAAGGAAATAGGAAAAAAAGGACAAACTAAGATACATTATGTACAGGTACAAGTTCCCTATGATAAATGTGATCATTTATGTGTATCTAAATTGTAGTATTAAAATTTACACAAAATTTTTTGTCTTCAACCAAATTGGCATATATAAAGAAAATGTTTTTTTCTTAAAAATAATGAAATGAATTTCTCTATATTATTAGAAATTATACTGATATGTGACTTTTATTTGGTTAGTTCAGAAAATGCAAATGAGGCTCAATGTTAGTGACTTAAAAGAAAATTCAGTCCAAAAAGAGTATATCAAACTGACCAGTTTTGAAAGGAAATTCTTGTTCTGTGTATACAATTAAAACATGAAACTATTTAGCTATCTTTATGCCATTTTATATAACTTGGAAAGATACAAAGAATGGTTTTTGTGATGCTCTTTAAACTTGTATAGTTTTTAATATAATCATTTTGGGCAAGATTCTTAAATATTGAATAAACATTTTGATTATTTCTATATTTAACATCCTTACACGCATATATTTACCTACATAGATAGCAGAATTGACCACTGGATGCTAACTATATTTAGATTACTTTTAAGTGATTTTTTGATGTGGTAATTGCATAATGTTTTCACAAATTTCCTTTTACTCAATCTCATTATATCTCCACATTTTTACTCAAGTCTGTGTCTATATAAACAAACGTGGAAACACTGGCCCTTACCTGGACCCAAGGAGAATCCACCAACTGCCTGATCATTTTGGCCCAGGCCCTGTGAATGTTATACTCCGGCGGATTGTGCAAGCCTGTGTGGATTGTGCCTTTGATGCAAAGACTGTTTTTGGGTTTCTTAAGCCAGATAATCGTGGAGGAGAAGTGATAACTGGTATACTATTCTAATCTTCTGTTCAGCTTCTTTTCCAAATTTTATTTTAAGATTAGATGCTAGGATTTTATGACATACAGACTATTCACAATACCTGCATTCTAATTATGCTGTAATACTTGACAAATATAGAATATACATTATAGTTACATACTTACAGACTTTTAGCCCTAGTTTGTAAAGTTACATACTTACAGACTTTTAACCCTAGTTTGGAAAGTTTACTTTCAAAGTAGACAAATGATAACAGAGTAATACTGTAAATTAAGGTAAAAGGTGTAGATTTTTCCTTTTATATGCTCTGTTAAGCTCAGTATAGACACTATCTTGGTTATGTTTTCATTTGTATAGAAAACAGGCTGATCTGTAAGAAGCTTTAAATAAAAATGTGATTCAAGAACTCATTAAGGGAAAAGATACAGCAGATGATTTCCATACTTAGACTATTTGATACCATATTTTTGCCCATGGAATATTTGAAATATAAGTGTTGTATATCCATGGGGTTTCTGTTGTTTTTGTTTATTTTGTGAATATTTTTAAATAGGAGCAGTTTACCAGTACATGCTGCTGTTTTAGAGCTTTTATAATTTTATACTTTTATGAATTATAAAACTACAAATTAAATTTCTCATATGTTCCCTAAATTGATGGAGATCTTTATTTGCATTAGATTTTTTACTTCTTTTTGAATTGACTGACATCTCTTTTTCCTTAAATAGCCTCCTTTGATGGTGAAACTCATTCCATCCAGCTGCCTCCAGTAAATAGTGCATCCTTCGCACTTAGATTTCTTGAGACTTTGTGCCGGACACTGCAGTGTAATAACCTTTTGAGTAGCCAGCCTTTCAGCTCTTACAGAGGTAATACTGAAAGCTCTGCAGAGCGAGATAAAAATGTACCAGGTAAGACAAAATGTAAATTTTTATACGATTTATTTTGCACTTAACTTGGAAATATTATGTAATTCGGTCTTTCAGCCCTCAAAGTAAACGTTTTAGCAATAGATAACTAATTAGAAATGTATAATATATAGTTGTTTTTATTCATTTAAAGTAGGAAAATAATCTGGCATGGTGGCACATGTCTATAATTATAGCACTCTGAGAGTCTGAGGCAGAAGGATTACAGTAACGTAGTGATTTAGCAAGACTATCTCAAAAAAGGTAAAAAGGACCAGAGATACAGCTTAGTGTGAAGGCCCAGGCTTCATTCCCTAGTATCACAAAATAGGTGGTTAATTGATAGGCAGGCAGGCAGACAGACAGACAGTCAGATAGATTGATTTTTTTGTGTGCATAATAAAATTGATCATCAAAATCAACAAATTATGTTTGGCTTCTTTGTGACTAGTTCTCAGAGTTATATTCTATCAGGTTGAAATAGAACTTTAAAGTTACTGACCTTAATCCTTAGAAGTTACCAAAGAATATTGAGCCTATTGCTATAAAAAGTTACCTGCTGGATTCAACATTTGAGCCTTAGTTCCCTTTCTTCCATACAAACCCTCAACTGATGCCTGAATGACAGGGTTTGTGTAAGGCAGTCCCGTATAACCAAAGGTGATTCTGCTTCCTAAAGTAAGAAAGTTCTTTGAGCTTCTAGGCTAATGTGTTTTGTTATTGGAAGAAAGATTTGTTTATTTTTATGTGTATTTGTTCTTTTAAAATTCAGCAGAGTATTTGAATTTTTAGGTAAATAGCTGGGATATATTACTATTTGAGACTACACTGAAGAATCAAATGATAGTGTTTTAAGCTTTGATCAGTTTGATCTACAGAAAGCTTCATATGACCATTTGAAAATGAATTTTAACTAGAACTTTTATGTTAGTTTTTTTTAGTTTAGCTTGCAGTTTAAAAGTTGTATGTAAATGTTACAAAGTTGATTCTTCTATGATTCCATGTCCATTATCCCATTTGTCTTACATTTTTCGAGTAAGCGACTAAAAATATTTTTAAGGCAGTGTTGTGGGGAAATTTTAATTCTGAAAAATTCAGTGTTTTCATATTTTAGCAGTAGTTTTAAAGGCAGCTAACTGAAATATAAAATACCTAAGGAAAAGTAACACATAGAATACAGCTTCGCAAAATACAACTCAATAGTAAGGTTCTGGTTGAAGAAGTAGATAACAGTGGGTGCTTCAGTTCACGAACTTAATTTTTTCCATGATTCTGGTCATCTGGTTGTGAACCAAGGTGCCATTGTAGTACCAGTACCCTAGAAGCACCCCTAATGTGTCAAGCCCTTTCCATCCACTATTCCCCTTTAACTTCAACAAGGGTAACTACTGTCCTGACTTCTCGTACCATATATTAGTTTTTGAATTTTATAAAAAGAATAAATCTGTATTCTTTTGTGTCTAGCTTTTTTTACTTACCATTGTTTTTAAGACTTATCTGTATTGTATGTAGTGAGATAATTTATTCTCTTTATTGTGTAAAATTCTGGTATAAAAATAGGCCGTTATTTTATACATCAATTTAAGTACTTTGTGTTTAGTATAGTGCCTTAATAGTGTTACGGTGAATATTCTAGTACATACTTTGTAAAATATGTATAAATTTCTATTCCTGTATCTGTCTAGGAGTGGAAATTTTAGGTCATGGGAAATGAATGCATTGGTTTAGCTTTGGTAGATTGCATCACTTTTTCAAAGTGTTTGCCTTAATTACCGTCCAATAAGCCATTCTCTGTCTCTCTGTCTCTGTCTTTTTCTCTCTTGTCTGTCTGTCTGTCTGTCTGTCTCTCTCTCTCTTTCTCTCTCTCTCTCTATATATATTTTCTTTCCTCTTTTCCCCCCATTGCCATCCCCTTTTTAAGCCCTCATCCTTTGCCTGTTTACAAAGCTCTCCTTTCATTTTATTCTTCTTTGCTCATTTTTTCTTTCCCTTCCTTCCCTTCCCCTCCCCTTTCCTACCTTCCTTTTTCTTTTGAACAATTTTTCCTGTTTCATCATATCTGTTGTACACTTAAGATCTTATTTACAGTTTCAGTTTCTCACACCTGAGAGATAATACAGTATTTAAACATGACTTATTTCACTTAGGGTTATGGTCTCAAGGTCCATCTGTTTAGCTTATAAATGTCTCAATCTTATCTTTATTGCTGAGTAATACTCATTATGCTAAAAAGAAATCTTTTTTATCCATTCATTGGTTGGTAAGCATTTGAGTACTTCCAAAATTTAGGGATTACAAACTGAGGTGTGAACGTATTGCTATGGTGTGATGCATTTAATTCTTCTGGGAAGATACCAAAAGGGGAATAGCTGGGTCAAATGGGACCTTTATTACTAGTTTTGTGAGGAATCTCCCCAGTAGTTGCATCAGCCTACACTTCCACCAACAGTGGAGAAGTGTTCCTTTTTCCCCACAGGCCCTCCAGCATTTGTATTAGTTGTTTTCTTGATAATAGCCATTCTTTCTAGAGTGAGATGGAGTCTCAGAAAAGTTTTAATTTGCATTGCTTGCAAGATCAGTGATGTTGAACATTTTTTTCATATTTTTTATTTGCTATTTGCACCACTTCTGGGAAATATCTATTCATCTAAGGTGCCCATTTTTAAAAAATACATTCTCTGGTGATTTTTTTTCTTTGTCTATACTTTCCTCTAATATTTTAAAGATAGTGGGGGGCTGGAGGTTTAGCTCAGCAGCGTAAGTGCCTGCCTTGCAAGCAGGCAGTCGTGAGTTCGATCCCCGGTACTGATAAAAAAAAGGAAAAAGAAAAAAAAAATGAAATGTTTAAAGATACTGACCAAAATTGTGCTGTAATTCTAGTTTACTGATACCAGCTCTCTCAATTATTAATTAGTCTTGTTTTTTTGCATGTCTTTTTTTGTGTGTGGTGGACATTTAGTATACAGGAAACTATACACATAATATATAAGAGATCAATAAAAATTCTACATTTCTTACCTTGGGGGATTTCTTTTTTTCTCCTTTAGGCAGGACAGATGAGAGGCTCAATGCAGCCAGAGACTGAGCTAAGTAGGGCTGAAGATCAGTTTTATTGAGACTTAGTCTGTCTCTGGTTCATCCTTACTCATTACACATTGACCTTCCAGATTTTTTTTTTTTTGATTAAGGGCCTGGCATTTTGAAAACTCCTCAGCCCTCAAAGACTAAGAGAAACTATGCTTCTATCCTTTAGATGTTTGTACCTCAGCTCTTTAGCCTTCTTCCTCATGAATTACCAAAATTTGTCTCATATGCTAAATGATAAACAAATAAGTGTTTTAGTTAGATCCCTTCTCCTCCTGAATCTTTACTTCCTGAGTTCTCTGAGACTATATAAGATTTCAGTGTGCTTTTAGAGAACTTTCAGTTTAGCTATGCAGCTTCTTGTACAGCCCCAGGATTTAGCAGATGTCCCATGGAGGGAAACCATCTGTGACTTTTATCTTCCAGTTTGTCACTCCAGATTGTGAAGATGTGAAATCTCTTTTAAATACATTTTTACCTCAGCAGAGCCCTTTGCCCAAGTCAAATCTTGTTTCCAGTGTGGTACCAGCAGTCACCAAATTCGTACAGAAAAAAAAAATTGATGAAATTTTCAGTTGAGCCCAGAATGAAATTTGATTTGTTAGTTCTGTGACTGTCATGCCTCTGTGATACCTGCCTTACAGCAACTTTATTAGAATATAATTCGTACACCATAAATTCACCCTTCAAAGTATATAATTCAGTGCTTCTAATATATTGTGAAATTCTGCAGTTGTTAACACTAATATCAGAACATTCTCATTATCCCATTAAGAAACCCTATACCCATTAGCTGTCATTCACCAATCTCTCCTCTGGCCTCTGGAAACCATTAATTTACTTTCTGCCTCTTAATATGTCTTTTCTGGGTATTTTATATTAGTGGAATCATACAGTATATGACCTTTAGTGTGTGGCTTCTTTTACATTATATAATATTTGAGGGCTGCAGGTTCAACTCAGTGGCACAAGCACCTGCCTGGCAAGTGCAAGGTCATGAATTTGATCCCTGGTACCAAAAATAAATCATGTTTGAATGTGGTAATGTCAATCAGTACTTTATTCCTTGTATGGCTGAATAATATGCTGTTATATAGATACATCACATTTTGTTTCCTCATTCATCAGTTGATGGACTTTTGAATTATTTCCACTTCTTGACTATTAGGAGTATTCCTTATATGGACACTTCTGTGCAAGTTTTTGCAGGAATGCATGATCCTATTTATCTTGGATATAAATTTAGGAGTAGAATTTCTTATATCCTAACTATATTTCACCTGTGAAGTTGACAGATTTTTCCAAAAAGGCTGTACCATTTTGTATTCCCAGCAGCAGCCTACTGATATTCCAGTTTCTTCAAATCCTTATCAACACTTATTATTGTCTTATTGTTGTTGTTATAGCCATCCTTTTGAGTGTGAAATGGTCTGTCATGGTTTGATATTTCATTTACCTAATGACTAATATTGAGCATCTTTTCTTGGGTTTATCTGCCATTTGTTTACTTGAAATAACTGTTGAAATCCTTTTTTCCTCATTTTAATTGGGTTCTTTTTATTGTTGAGTTGTAAAAGTTTTTTTTTTTATTTGAGATACAAATCTCATAGTCACATCCACATGTGCCATTCATCAACTTGTCTGTGTGTCTGTGTGCACACACACATGCACACATGTTGCTGGCAATTAAACCTAGTGTGTCACACATTCTAGGGAAGTAATTAACCACTGAGCTTCATCCTTAGCTCTTTTGACTTTCTTGATAGTATTCCTTGAAATACAAAAGTTTTTAATTTTGATGAAGTTCAATTTATCTCTTTCTTGTTGCTTGTACTTTGGTTTCAGATCTAAGAAACTCTTGCTTAATGGTTCCTAAATATTTGCACTTGTGTTTCCTGCTAATTTTATAGTTTGGCTCT